ATCGGGCCGAAAACGCTAATAAACAATAAATGATTATGACTTATAATAAATATTATAAGTAAATATTATGATTATGACTTATAAATATTATGATTATGATTTATAATAAATGAGTAAGGGCCTGCGCACAATACAGGAATAAGAATTAGATATTAAGATTTCAACCTATCAGAAACCGTGTATTCCGATGTAATCAGTTTCTGATAGGTCAAAATCTTAATATCTAATTCCTATTCCTCTATTGTGCTCAGGCCCTTAATATTATGATAAATATTATGATAATATTATAGTAAATATTATGATTATGACCTAGGGCCTGCGCACAATAGAGGAACAGGAATTAGATATTAAGATTTCAACATATCAGAAACTGATTACATCGGAATACACGATTTCTGATAGGTTGAAATCTTAATATCTAATTCTTGTTCCTCTATTGTGCGCAGGCCCTTATAATAAATGATTTATTATTTGAATGATTTCTTAAATGGATAGGGCAAAACAGCATACAAAATATTTAATATTATGTATAGCTGGGCAATATATATTTGGATTTCAAAACGTTGTTTTTGAAGAAAATTTTACTAAAAAGCTGTAGTTTATGTTACTGTACCTAGTGAAAAATGATAATAGAACCCTTCGAATCGACATTAATTTGATGATTATGGCGTCAATTCGATTCCATATTATCATTTCTCGCTGAGTATAACTTTTTAATAAAATTTTCTTCGAAAGAACATTTTAGAGCATAATCCAGGTAATCGAGATTTACGAATGATTTATTAATATAATTATTTTGTTTGTGTACTTAGCCATTTTCTTGTTCGATCTTTATTGTAGTCTCTGTTAAGATTTAACACGACGCTATTAATTTAATTAAAAATTATCGTTGTTTCCGATGAACTCTCTTGCTTGGCACGTACAAAATTGAAAACAAAGAAAAAGGTTAAAAATCCTCACATGCGGGCTGCCATATTGCACTACACCGTTAGGCTGGATCCTCATACAGACACCGGCGCTTTGATATAGAGCACTGATTGGTGAAAAGCCGGTTGTGGGGGTAAAATTTACTTCCACCACTCGTTTTTCACCAATCAGCGTTCGGTGTCAAAGCGCTGTTGCCCGTATGAGGATCCGGGCTTACACTTGCTTAAAGGTGCGATTTCACGCTAACGCTAGACGCTCATTTTCAGCGTCAAAACAGGTCACGTGATCAAAATTGACGCTTGGTATTCGTCAATTTTGATCATGTGACCTGTTTTGACGCTAAAAATGAGCGTCGAGCGTCAGCGTGAAAAGGCACCTTAAGACCTGAAGTCTGTTTTCTGTGACTGAACTAGCGTACACTTTTGGAACTTAAAGTGAGATAGATATACGTTTGATATTTGTTTAAAGTGAGAAAGAGAGTTCTAGAACAGTTTAGTGCAGGAACAGAAAATAGACCACTGGTACAAGCAGTACAGTGAACTCTTGCACTGAATATCGCTACACCTCGAAAAAGAACAGAGTACATGATGTCATTTCGTTACAGTGTACACAAAAAGAACGATGTAGTGTAAACTTCTTGAACTAGTGCAAGCAGTGCAGAGAAAAAAAACAAACCTTATGGCTTCTGCACCTGCACACTGGACGTCCAATGTCGAAACGTTATAGCGTTTTCTCTTGGGATACACTGGGTGCAGTCTCACACCGTACCAGTTGCGTGTAAGCGCTACACTCAACTACAGTGCCTGCTACACTACAATAGAGTGGTGCACACTAGAGTCCTAGATTTATCAGAGAGGTGCAACCGGTGTTATGCATTCTGATTCGCTGTTGCAATCTGACCAATTGCGTGACTTGGCAGCCTTTTATAGTACTAGTGACATATTTCTATTTCATTTTATCCTATACATTCTATCTCACATTATCCTACACGTCTTATCTTGTTTGATAAAATTTAAAGGCAGTTTCATAGCATGTCGGCCATGTTTAGTATTCTCCTTAGCACCTTTGTCATACTGACTTAAGCCGGTTGCGCCTCTCTGATAAATCTAGGACTCTAGTGCACACCATAGTGTACACTGTATCATTATTATGCTAAAGCCCATGACACATACAAGAACGTAAGGCCGTTAGGCGTCATCTACAATACATGACATTTAAAATTTGAAAATAAAAGTCAAGCGGGAACAGAGTTTTAAGTCCATGGCACATAGAAAAACGTAAGTCCGTAAAGGCCCGTCTACAATACACGGAGTAAGAAGTAAGAGTAAGAAATTGACCAATCACAGTCGAACCTTTACGGACTTACGTTTTTCTATGTGCCATGGACTTAAAACTCTGTTCCCGCTTGACTTTTATTTTCAAATTTTAAATGTCACACTGGTGCTACACGGTTTCTTTGAGACGGTGTAGCAAAATCTCACTTCGTGCATAAAATTTGCACCGTAGCCACGGAAACACGGTACACCGAATGAGTTCGCTTATCACCAGCCATGGAAACACGGTACACTGTCTGAGTGTTGCACTAGTGGGCGATAGTGCAGCCAAGAGAAAACGTGGGATGATCCCAATTGATCACGGCTCGATTGGACCCCACCAATCACAGCGACCGGTGCTTAGAAGCTTTGTAGTCTCAAGCGCTGTGAGTGGCTCGTGTCCAATTGAGCCGTGTCCAACTGAGTGCCACCCATTTATACAATAAAAAATTACAAATTTAATAATGTATTATCGAAATATTTACCTTAATAATCGCAAATCTTTATTAAGATTTTTTACAAATATTAACATTTCAACTTATCTAAAACCACACTGCACAGTGTATTCCAATATAATCTGCAGTTTCTAATAGGTCGAAATCTTAATATTTATTCCTGTTTCAAAGATTTCTTTGTGTGCAACCCCTAAAATGATACTTCTGAATGGCATGGCATTCGGGTGAGAACCTAAATGCAGTCCTGATAATGATTGACAATCAAAGGAAAACAACAGGATGCTAGAATGGCAATGCAGATAAAAAAGACGGTTGAATCTTATATCTTTAATGAAAATATTGATTAAAGCAATAAACATTAAGTTATTTAAATAGAAACATAGAAAACGCATGTAGGAAATAAATTTTATATAAATTTATGTATAAATAATAGAACTTGTAATATTTATGTAGGTGGTGACTGATCTTCAGACTCGTAAATTTTCTTCTCCATGTTCTTGTGTTTCTTTTGTTTTGGTTCCCATAAGCTGTTCCTCATAAATCTTTTAGCAGCATTTACATCGACACGTGGCATAAGTGTATTTTTATCATTGATTTGTTTCGCTCGTATCATTGCTTTTTTCAATCTCTCATTTTCTGATCTAATTCGATGCTTTGATGGATCGATTCCTACAATCAATAATAATTTAATAATCAATGCATATGATGTAAATTGACTTGTATCTTGAAAATTACAATTTTTATATACCTTCGGCTTTCAAGTACATCCAAAACAGACTATTAAGACTATAAGATAACAACAAGTTATATTTAATTTTGTCTGTATTGGGAAGTTTATCGAATAGCGAAGGATCGCTAACTGATTCTACCATATCCTGGATTTTGAAAGCTGCTTCATTGAACTGCTTCAGTCTAGCAATTATGTTCGTGTCGTGCGAAAGTTCTTCAAAATCAGCATCCATTTCTTTCGTCAATCAATTTATTTTTCAAGTGACGAGTAATGTTTTGTCCTTTCGTTTCACTATTAGTTACACAACCTCAATTTTTATCCAATCTCACTATCGTCGTTTTACCTCTGCTAAAATAAATACAATAATTTTTTTCCATCATTTCCTTCAAGATTTTTCAATATAGATATCCATTCTTTTCGATATACACAATATATACATACATATTATAATTTTCTTCAATATTACTCTCATCTGACTTTCATTCGCTACACTCTCCTTTAACTGCCTTAACCTTAACTTTTCTCTTGCATTTAAAACTGAACATAACCTAAAATAACTGGTAGGCAAAGAATCCGTCTTCGTTATTTTTTATATAATTAATTATTTTAATATAAGTACACATATACAACTTTATTACATATCTGTATTATAAATTGTATTAACAATCATTTTAAATAATCTATCATCACACATTAAATCAAATGTTTATTTTTCATATATTCTTTTTTATATAAAATCGAAATTCATTTATGAGTTAGCTGCTACAGAATTAAAAAAAAAAAAGAAAAAAGAGTACAAATTAATAATAGAGGAAAATGAACATTTTACGAATTTATTTCTCTCCTCTAACAACGGTTAAAGTTGCATGTAAAAATCGCACTATTAGAAATTATACATCACAGAATCAAAGTAAGATGTACGATCGTTCTATAATTGCATGCGCGGCATTCTATATGTATATGTACGGTATGTATGTACATGTATATGTTGAAGCGATCTCACGACTGATCAGGATCACGACGTTGCAAGAATTCAGGCCTGCAGAGTGCAGACTGTTCACTGTTGCAGACGGAGATCGAAACGGACGCATTCTTCCCCTCCGGCCTATTCTATGATTCTTTGAGGTTTAAATTTAGCATTCTCTCATCCCCCATGAATATTCGAGTGGATAAATTCAATGGCGTATATATCTATGTATGTACAGAAAAGACGTCGTGATTGCGCTGTGAGCTATATGTCACGTATAGCAATAATGATACGTAAAGTAAATCCAACAAATCTATTATATCTCGCAATAAAAAATTAAAGCAAGACTCATTAATGGGCTTGTTATCAAGCAACATAATTAAAAATTTATATATTATCCTATAACAAGGATAACTTCTATGGGACTTTGGCACGCTATCCTATTTATAAATTACACATTAGAAAAATGTGTGTGTGCTATTATAAATTTATGTACTGTATTATTACTAGCAGGGTTGGGTAAGTTACTTTTTTCTTTTAACTAAGTTAAGTTAAAGTTAACAACCTTGAAAATTTAACTTAGTTAAGATACAAGTTAATGTATAATGAAATTAATTGAA